TCAGAATGCTTACGCCGTATGGTATTGGATGCAACGCATCAAATGGCCAACCCCCCTTGGGGAAGGCATTGGTCCCGATGCCGCGGATTGTGGAATATGCTCACTTGAGCTTCTTGCAAGCTTCTACATCACCACGGGAGCCCGTCTCCCGGTGGTCGCCTCCTGTGATCGCAAAAAATCGGTCAGCACATATATCGAGTATGATAGCATTGAAGCACAAATGTTGCCAGCCTCATCTCTCAGTGCGGGCAAGCAAGCCGAAACTTTGATGTTGGTTGTCAAGCAACTGAATGAAGTGACAGGACATTGCATTTTGCCAACCCAGGCAGTCCTTGACCTCAAGCAGATGAGGATCTTCTACCCCATCCGTAAGATAGGCGGTTATGCCCGAAGGGTAGGAATTCCACATGCAGCCAGGGCCTTGCAACACGTACTCCAGTACTGTGAAGCTTCCCATGGTGACACATGCGTTAGGAAAATCTTCATGCCCAATGGGCCCTTTGACTTTCAGCCCCCAGATCTTGACGTGGTGGACCTTCCTGAGGCTGCCAGAAAATGGCAATTTCGTAAAATGAAACGCCTTCGTGCTCAGACTATGTGACTCACGCCTCTCTTGACGAAGTTTCACCCTGATCCCCCCTTGCGGGGCGTGGGTCGGTGTGGTGAGTGTGTGTGCCTCTCTTTTTGCGGGTTTTCGGGGTCTGTTCCCCCTGTTGTTTGGTTGTGTTGGGGTGGTGTGTGTTCGTAACATGGGGGTGGCCTCGCGCTACCCGTACTATGGACCTGGCATGCCAAGGCCATAGTACAGCTCGCCGGATGGAAAATGGGCGCGCAAAAAAAAAGAAAAAGGCCACTGGGCATCTGAGTTTCAGTTCAGTGAGCCTTGCTTGGCTCCTGGTTGCAGAGAAGCAGGAAGACAGCATGACCGCAATTGTGAAACATAGGCCCGGTTTAAGCACCAAGGTTTCTCAAAAAAGCTATTGCCATCTTGTCAGACAGCGGGTCACGTCATGTTTGAAACAATGCTAAATCGACATGAACCAAGCACCGCTTCTTCAAACGTAGGGGCAACTTCCTCAATCTGCCCAGGGATCATTTCCAAAAAATCATCCAAAACCGTCCTGTGGTTAAGGGGTTGTGGGTTTTTAAGGGAATCACTCACCACTGGTCCTTAGGGGACAAGCGAATGGAGGAAATTCGGGGGTATCTTGCAAGCAGTGGAAAACGAACGGGATCCACATCTAGAAAGATCATCATCGGCTCCGGTCCGGCGCTTTGATAGAATCCCATGTCGGATGAATTTTCGGGTGTCATCCTTGAGGTTTCTAAAAATTGGGGACCAATTCCTCCAGGGGTTCCTTCCTTTTGCTGTGTGTGTGTGTGTTGTTTCAAACCATCCAAGGGGTCCGATCACCCTATCATCATTGTTGGGAAACATTTTTCCCGAAAGCATGGCGAAGGGTTCTTCCGCTGGGTTCACTTGAGTTGTTCTCATGAGAGTCATTACAAGGTGTCATTGCAAGGAACCAGCATCATGAAAGTCATTGCAAGGAGTCATTGCAAGGAGTCATTGCAAGGAATCATCATCATGAAAGTCATTGCAAGGAGTCATTGCAAGGAGTCATTGCAAGGAGTCATTGCAAGGAGTCATTGCAAGGAGTCATTGCAAGGAGTCATTGCAAGGAGTCATTGCAAGGAGTCATTGCAAGGAGTCATTGCAAGGAGTCATTGCAAGGAGTCATTGCAAGGAGTCATTGCAAGGAGTCATTGCAAGGAGTCATTGCAAGGAGTCATTGCAAGGAGTCATGGCAAGGATTGCAACTTGCACTTGACTCCTTGCAATTGCAACTTGCACTTGACTCCATGCACTTGCAACTTGCACTTGACTCCATGCACTTGGCTCCTTGCACTTGGCTCCTTGCACTTGCTGCAAACTTGCACTTAACTCCGTGCACTTGCGGCTTGCACTTGACTCCATGCACTTGGCTCCTTGCAACTTGCAATGGCTCTCATGACTCCTTGCAATGACTCCTTGCAATGACTCCTTGCAATGACTCCTTGCAATGACTCCTTGCAATGACTCCTTGCAATGACTCCTTGCAATGACTCCTTGCAAACAAGCAAGGAGTCAAGTGCAAGTTGCAAGTGCAAGGAGTCAAGTGCAATTGACTTGCGAGGAGTTAAAATCTCTTCTTAGGGCGGCGGGGTAGTGCCGACGACACTACACGAAAACCGACCCTCTGCGGGGATCGGCGTGATCGAGGTGCAAAAACCCATGGTTTTTTGTAAAGCTCCCGCGCGACCCTCTGCGGGGATCGGCGTGGTCGAGGTGCAAAAACCCGAGGTTTTTTTGCGATTTCTAAAGTTCCCGCGCGACCCTCTGCGGGGGATCGGCGTGGTCGAGGTGCAAAAACTCGAGGTTTTTTGCGATTTCTGCGGTGCTCGCGCGACCCTCTGCGGCGTGGTCGAGGTGCAAAAACTCGAGGTTTTTTGCGATTTCTGCGGTGCTCGCGCAACCCTCTGCGGGGATCGGCGTGGTCGAGGTGCAAAAACTCGAGGTTTTTTGCAATTTCTGCGGTGCTCGTGCAACCCTCTGCGGGAATCGGCGTGGTCGAGGTGCAAAAACTCGAGGTTCGAACTGGTCCTGGTCGAGGTGCAGGTTGCGAAACTGGTCCTCGGGAGTTGTCTCGTGGTTCGCGCGCCTGCTCCCGGAACCGGCGGGTCGCGGGTTCGATTCCTCCCTGGTCCGCGGGCGGGCGTCGCAAGATGCAACTTGCATTTTAAAGCAACTTGCGCAGAGCAACTTGCGCAGAGCAAGTTGCACAGAGCAACTTGCGCAGACCAACTTGCACCGACCAGTTTGCGCAGAGCGCCTTGCCTAGAGCAACTTGCGCAGAGCAACTTGCGCAGAGCAACTTACACAGAGCAACTTGCACAGAGCAACTTGCACAGAGCACCTTGCCTGGTGCTGTCTCGCGCTTGCTTCACGAATGCTTCGTGTAGGGAAAAAGAACGCATCCTGCAGCGTTGGGCCGACCTCGCTTGCGATGTTCTGCTTTCGGGCCAACCGTGGTCTAGTACATTTTTGCTTATTGTGGTTTAGTGGGAAATCCAACCACTGAACTGCTAAAATTTAAATTTTGGCTCCCCTTCCATCGTCAACCAAGCTATCCTGACTTGCCCGGACATCATTTCGCCAGGTCTCTATGATCGATTTGGTGTCACCTGCGCGCGAGTCCCGAGCGGCACACTCACGCCGCCGGGCACTCCGCGGCCGGAATCAATCCGCGGATCCGCGAACCGCTTGCGAACATCGCCTGGCCTCCGCCAGAATGATCTGAGGCGTAATATCTGACAGGTTTCCTAAGTGAGGTTGATTCAACAAGAAGGGCTCTGAGCATATGGGTGTCTCTTTTTTGGGGGCACCGCCTAAGATTGTAGTTCTCAACAAAACGCATTTATGTTTCAAACGCTGCCATTAGTTTGCGCTCCTGAGCCTGCGGCTCGCTCGCGGCTTTCGCGGCAGTCGCCTTTTGCCTGGGCGCTCCGTGTATCATTTCGATTCAAGAAAAGAAGCCGCAGATGTCGCGAGAGGGCTGGCTGTAGTGAACAGGTGTGCCTTTCTCATGGTTGTTGTTGGGAAACATTTCTTCCATTTCTGCTTATTGTGGTTTAGTGGTTGACAAATCACCACTGAACGGCTAAAATTCTAAAATTTTGGCTCCCCTTCCAACGTCAACCAAGTTCTTGGGATTCGGACCCCAAAACACGTTGGATTTTGGCTCTCTTACCCACAAAAAGGCGGAGCTCAACAGAATACGAGCCAAGTGGTAGTTCCCATCTAGCCGAAGCTCGAGGGACTTTCCCGTAGAACCTCTCTTAATATGTTCCCTGGTCTGAAAGCCAAACAAAAACATCCCCCCAACCAAAAAAGCCACCAGGTGTATTTGTTTCTTTTTCGGGCTCCGAATCAACCACTTCCTGTTGCGGAGTTCGAGTCCTCGTACCAAGAGCTGGCGAAGATGCAAAATCCGCTTCCCGGCAGACACAACGAAAAACTTTGGGGCTGCTTCTGCAATTTTGGTTTGACGACGGTAAGGCTGATACAAATCTCTCGAATCATCTTACAACCATAGAATCAAAAGTCAGCTGAGGTGAAACGAACGCTGTCATGCAAGAAGTGGGCTAATTAGGTCCGCCAGTAGTGCCCTTTTGCCCTTTTATTGGGGAGGGTTCCCCTACCGAAATAGACTACAGAAAAAGGGGTACCCTTACTAGCCCGTGGTCCGTGTAAGCCAACGCTTCCAGTCACCGACTCAGAGCCCAAGCAAACTGGGCGGTTCCCTGCGAATCGTCCGGACCTCGGGTTGTTTAGTTCTTGGCTCCCAGCCATCCGGTTCAACTTAGCTTTTTGAACTTTCAGTGTTTGGTAGTTTCCATTTAGCCCACTGAAAGTGAAACTTGCGGATGAGACAACGGGCAGCCCAGAGTGGTTTTTCGGTTTTGGTGGCGGGTTCCGAAACTTCACCCCGCGAGGCAACACAAACTTGGAGCATGGGATCGACGGCGCGGAGAAAAATCCTGTTTTTTTTGAGGACTTTCGAATCGAAATGGCGCAAGACGAGGTTGAAGTTGTGGTTTCCCTTTAAACCACCAACCAAGGGTACCCTCAAAAAAAGAAACACCCTTTTGACCTCTGATGAAAAAACAACTCCCCCCCCTCCCCCGGATATTTTTGTTGTGTGCGGATTCAACTGCCCAGGAGGATTGATTTGACTGGGTTCTCAAGGGATCAACTGTTTGACCTCTCGAAGTGCTTTCAAGGAAGCCAAATGGGTGTGGGTCAAAATTAAACCACCAGGGGACCGCAGATTGTAGTCCATGTTTCCATTTACCAGGGTTCCATGTTGGGTACCTATTTTTTGACCCACAGCCAAATGGCAAAGGGCATTTAGGGGTTCCTAACTTTGAGAGGCGCCAGTTTTGTTGACACGTCCCGCAGCCAATTCGGCCAGAGACGTGCGAACGCCCCAAGAACGCACGGCACAAAGCTGGGGGCGCCCACGTCGCTTGAAGCTTGCAGGCTGGGATTGCGGCGTTTTTGTTGCGTGTTTATTCCTGGTCTGAGGTTTTGTTGGGTTCGTGGTTGGTTGCTTGCTTGCTTGCTTGCTTGCTTGCTTGCTTGCTTGCTTGCTTGCTTGCTTGCTTGCTTGCTTGCTTGCTTGCTTGCTTGCTTGCTTGCTTGCTTGCTTGCTTGCTTGCTTGCTTGCTTGCTTGCTTGCTTGCTTGCTTGCTTGCTTGCTTGCTTGCTTGCTTGCTTGCTTGGTGGGTGGGTTGGTTGGCTGGTTGGTTGGTTGTTGGGTTGTTGGGTTGTTTGGTTGCTTGGTTGGTTGGTTGGTTGCTTGCTTGCTTGCTTGCTTGCTTGGTGGGTGGGTTGGTTGGTGGGTGGGTTGGTTGGCTGGTTGGTTGGTTGTTGGGTTGTTTGGTTGTTTGGTTGTTGTTTGGTTGTTTGTTTGTTTGTTTGTTTGTTTGTTTGTTTGGTTGGTTGGTTGGTTGGTTGGTTGGTTGGTTGGTTGGTTGGTTGGTTGGTTGGTTGGTTGATTGATTGGTTTGTTGTTGGGTTGTGTGGTTGTTTGGTTGTTTGGTTGTTTGGTTGGTTGGTTGCTTGGTTGCTTGGTTGGTTGATTGCTTGGTTGGTTGGCTGGTTGCTTTCTTGGTTGGTTGGTTGCTCGGTTGCATGGTTGCTTGGTTGGTTGGTTGGTTGGTTGGTTGGTTGGTTGGCTGGTTGGTTGGTTGGTTGGTTGGTTGGTTGGTTGCTCTTAAGTTCTTGGCTTCTTGGAGTATTGCTGGCTCTGAAGTCGAGTGCTTGGTCTTTCGTTGATCGCTTGATCCCAAAAAAGGGTTAAAGTTGCCTTGGGGCTGATGTCCAACCATTCTGATTACGATGCTTCCTGAAAGCTCGCAAACACGAAGGAAGCTCATCTTATCTATGCCCCCTAGTCCAACTACCCGCCTTTTTTTGGGGTATGATGTCGACCCTCTACTAGAAGGAGACGTTGGAGTAAGGGGTGTGGCTATGCGGTGACGGATCTTTGGCCTTTTCACGTTTTGGTCGAACCAGGAAGCTGGTCGGTTGTTTCCCGAATTGGACCCACAAATGTTATTCAGTTTTTGCAGAGTCTCGCCACAGCAACCAAGTTCCCCGGTTCCTCCAAATATGCTGGGTTTCCATGGTGAATACCTCTTCTTTAGTAGAGGGTCGACATCATACTCCAAAAAAGTGGGTATATTTGGAGTCGGGGGTCCTCAACCGGCTCTGTGAGGCTTGTTGATTGCTTAGGCTCGGTGTTGGGTTTGAAGTGTGCTCGGTGTTGTTGATGTTTTGGTTGGTGAACTTGAGCCAAAATCAAAACCGATTCGGGTAGATGATCCGGCTAAGGGACAATACCAACCAGAAATGAAGGTGCAGACATTCGCCTTGTCAATTCTTTACGTGGCTCTGGGTAGACCATTTTGCTTCCCCACAATTAGCTCCCCTTTTTGTTTGTTTGCTTTGTTGGGGTCCCTTTGTGTTCCACTAACAAAAGATATATATATATATATATATATTTGATGGGGTCCTAGTTCCAGCCTAGTTTCGATATTGTCTCACCTGCCCTTGGTCTGATTTGGTGACCTTTACTTGGTTTCCAGATCAGTGGATTCCAGGTTAAAGCTGGGTCTTGGGAGTCCCTACTGGAATCAACCCTTTTCAGGGTTCCAATGGGCTGGCGTTTGCCTTAAACTGCTGGTTGGTTTTGCCCGTTTTCTCGTGCCGCTAGGGGTTGCAATGATGGGTTCCTATATTTGAGGTACAGCGCCCTTAGACTTGTATCTGCGCTTCGCACCAGTTGGGTGGTTTATCCCCATCCGTGGTATCGCTTTGGACTTTGTCCGTCCGCATGGCCGAATGTCCACGTGTGGTTTGCCGCATTTCCGTGTGGACATGGATCATACACTTCCATTGGCTAAGAACCGTTTTTCTTATTTGCCCCTGTTGGCTTTAAAGGAAATCGATTTCACTAATTACTGGAAACATCTTATTTTCTTCTTTTCCAGGGAACGTATTCGCAGAAGGTCAATGAGTCGTCCCATAGGATTCGTTGCAACCAAGATCAGCTCCTTTCCCGCTGTCGCTCAAGCAAAAGAAGAGCTCGGGTTAAAAGCGCAGAGATCTTTTCTTTGGTTTCCATTGGGCTGTGGCTCCCGAAGCCCCGGGACCATGGGTTGCGGCGCGGGTTGCCCCTCCGATCCGGTTGATTTTGATGGCCACACCCATGTACCAAGAACCGGTGTTCAGTACCTTTTTTTGAGCTACAAGCGGTCTCAGGAAAACGAGCGCTTGAGGGTTCTTCAAAAACAGGGGGGCTTCGGGGCAGACCACTTGCAACAATCGGCAAAGTCTGATGGTACTGTGGTCGAAATCCATTTTCGCACTGTGAAACCGTGCTTGAAACCAGAAGGCTTGTAATTTCCAGGGGAATCGATGCATAGGTTTGCCTCCATTTCCCTTGGAACCTGAAAAGGCGGCGATCGCTTCAATGGAAGCCCCCAGCAAATTGAGCAACTTCATCTTCCATTTGTTTAAGTTTTTTTCCTGTTGGTTTTGAAAGGAATCGATCACTACTGGAATAATTTTATTTTTTCCCGGGGACTTGAGCAAATGGAAGTAATGCAAGTCCATTGACCCCTGTCGAATTGGAATCCTTAGGTGACAGATTTCTTGGAACTTAAACTTCTGTCTCAGTTCAAGTCAAAATGGTGCTGTTCGCTTTTCCCTTCTTTAAACCAACCCCCAAAAGTTTCTCCAAGAACACGCACCCATTTGAGGTGCAAAGCCCTTGATGGGATAGGGATGAGATTAAGATTCACCCCTCTCATCTATGTGCACCTTACCTGGGATTGGTCAAACCCTTTAAAGATGTTTAATCACATTTTTTTAAGCAGGCTCCGTTGGGTTCCCCTAAGGACTTGGACCGAGGTCTGATTGTTTGCAACGGTGCCCCAAACTTCGCGTACATCTTTCATATGCCACCATCAGCTTATGGTAGCAGTGATGGACGGGAATTGGACTGAGGTTGTCCAGAAAGCACAAACAAGCCCAGGGTGCGGCGTTTTCTTTTTTTTTTAAGGTAGCCACCGGAAGCCACCAACGGAAGCCACCGTTTGGGGTGGGGGGTGGGGGGGGGGTCCCTGAGACAAATGACACGCCAAGCTTCGAAGCCCTTTCTCACCCCTGGGAGGGGTCCCCTACTAAAATAGACGACCGAAGTGGGTGCCCTTCTACTAACCTCTCCACTGGAGGACCTACCCCTTACACCCAATACCTTCATTTTTTAGGGTATGATGTTGACCCTCTACTAAAAAAGGGATCGGTACTTACCATGGAAACCCGATCGGTTTGTCCAAAAAATACCTTTAAAACGCGGGTATTTGGAGGTTACGGGGGAATGACACTCCCACAAAGGTTGGTCAAAGTCCCGTACCCCCAGTGAACATCCCAATCCCCACTAAAATAGGTTCTAAAATGGGTGGTGCACCTACCCCAAAATGGGATTTCAGTGGTTTTGACCCACAGCCAAATAAGAAATCCCAATGACCGCGACTTTGCGCCATTCTCCAGTCCTTTGCCGCCACGGCGGACGAAGAGGACGGAGAGGCGAGTCGAGTCAGGAAATCGGGGGGACTACCATGGGTTCAAAAAGGAGGGTAAATTTGGAGTACCCCCGCAACCTCCAAACACCCACTGTTTAAGGTATTTGTTTGAAGAACCGAGCGGTTTTTTTATGCTAAATACCTCCTTTTTTAGTAGAGGGTCGGGTCGATATGATACCCTCAATAAAATAAATGACGGTATTGGCTGTAAGGGGTTTGGTTTCCCTCGCCCTCGCTTGCAGCCAAAGCGAATCGACCTTCTGAGCTTTGGGTTGTCCTATGTTGGCCCATTTCTGGGTCCTTTGCGATTCGCCGAAATGAACTTTCTGGGAAGACCATTTTGGTGGTCAACAAAAAGTTTGGACTTTTTTTTGCCAAACTCAGGAAGCGAGTTTTACGGGGCATCGATTTCACTACTGGACATGTGCTGGGTCCCACAGTAGTGCCCTTGAGCTAGTATGTTCCCATGTGTTCCAGTGGACGAGAAAGCAAATGGAAGGAAACCACCAACACAAGGTATACCAACTCCAAAAAGGAGACATACCCAAATTGGGACTGGGGCTTGTGTGGGGGGTGCGTTGGGGTTCTTTTTGTTTTGAAGTGAGTTGAAAAGGGTACCAAGCATCCGACATATAATATGTATATATATATATATACATACATATATGCATCTTGTGCAGAGTCGCCCAGGGCAACCACACCTTAAACCGGCTTAGGAATTTTACAGCATTTTGTGTGTGTGGCTTGTATGAAGACTCGTAACGTCCAAATACCCGGTTGCTTGTTTCAGTTTGTATCACATCAACACTCTACCAACAAAGAGAGCGGTATTTCCCATGGAAAACCGGTCGGTGTTTCAAAGAAGAAAACAAAAAGAGGAGTATGCAAGAAATGATTCATGCTGACCGCGGATCTAAGAAGAACCCCCTGGTTCATTTGAACTGGGCTCGCGATGGCGCGCAGTCCCCATTTTTGGACGCAACTGGGCTCCACTCTCCCCAACAACTCGCTTGCCCAAACCAGCGTGTTCCTTTTGACCTTCGGGTTTCTCTTTTTTGCACATTGAGTCGTGGCCACAAAAGGTGAACCTTGTAGTTCTGGGTACTTTGGGAAACTGAGAAAAAGCAACCATTTGTGCCACTCTGCTTGTAGTTTATGATTCATCCGGGTTTTTTTTAGGGGGTGATGTCGACCCGCTACTAAAAATGGAGGTATATACCATGGAAAACCGATCGGTTTTTCACAAAATAGCCTAAAAAATGAGGGTATTTGGAGTAGGGGTCGTGTGTTTCCGCGAGACCGAACTGAATTTGGGGCATACCATGAACCATAGCAAGACGTTTTTCGAAGGGCGGGGTGTCAACTCAAAAAACCACCAGCCGCTTTTTTCGTCCACTGGCCACTTGATTTGTTGAAGTTCCCAAAACAGACGCAGCATGAGATCCGTCACCTGCCCCCCACCCCCTTTCCGTGTGAGGGCTTGTTAGATTTGGAAACGCAAACCTTATGACAAGCATCTTTTGGGTTTTTTTGGAGAGTCCTGGGTGTTTGTTAGCTGCCCAGTATAATGCTTGGGTTGTAACTTCCAGATTTAACTCCTAGTTCTAGTTCCTAGGCCTGGGCTGGTGGTTTGGGTTGATTTGGGTTCAACCTCTTCTTGTGCATCATCGAAAGGCCGGGATCTCCTCGGCCTCTGACTGCAATCGTCGATGTCACTACCCTCAAAATGGGCATCCTTTGGTTTCTGTTTGGCTTTTTGCTTGCACCTATGGACATCTACATGGATGTTTCCTTTTTGAGGCTATCCCTATTCCTTTATCGGCGGTTTCAGGGAAGCCACAAGGACACTCATCCATTTTGGTCGTCCCAAAAGTAGACCCGAGTTCTGTTTGACACGCTCAAGCCCTAGGAGCTCACTGAAACCCAGGAGCTTTCGAGGTGAGGTGTCCATGTTAGGAGGTTCCCAACTCCAAACACTCAGAACTATGTGTTTATATCTATATATATATATATATATATCTACACATGTGTTGACGTGCATACATACCATACCATACATACCTACTTTGTTTTTTTTTTCCGGGGAGGAGGAAAGCATATTTCTATGCACAAGCTGAGGGCATCTTCTTCTGGAAAGCTGAGGCTGAGGGCCCGGCTCACATGCACAATGCGGCCCTGGGCTCGAGGGCAACGGAGAGAACGGACGGGACGGCGGGGGAGAACGGGACGGGGGGTTGAACCTGCACCCAACCCGCGCGGTGGGTTGGCAAAGTGGTTTTTGTTGTCTGTTTGTGTTTTTTTTTTTTTTTTTTTTTGGGCAAGTTGTTTGGTTGTTGTGTTGTTGGTGGTGTTGTTGTGTGTTTTTTCTTTGCAGGGTGCCTTGGTTTCACCTGGCAGCAACTTTACAGTTGGCATGTGTTAGGTGTTTTTTGTCTTTGTGGGCATAGCACCTGAGCTGCTTTGCTGCACGGATCTCAGTCACCGCAGGATTCCTTACTATGCCATGTCTTCACTGTTCTTGGATCAAGTTGTTTGTTTGCTTGATTGATTGATTGTTCTTGTGCTTCTTTTCATCTTTTGGTCAGTCTTTTGCAAAGCCAATACCCTTTGGGTTGGAAAGCCAAGACCGAGTTTTTGAGGCCAGCGGTTCGGATATCTTGGTTCCGGTTACCAGTCCGCTTCCTTAGATGTTTAGTTGCTTTTAGTTGGTTCCCAGTGAACACACTCAGAGCTAAACTTTTAGCAGGGGATCTGGTTGGACAGGCCGGCTTTTCACGGTTTGACACCCTTGTTAGAATAAGGTCCTGCTTGATCGCTGTGTAGAACCGAGTGCTGCTATGGCCTCGTCTCACCTCCGCTGACTGCCCTTTTGGGTTTCCGCTCCCGGATGTGGCATGGTTGGACATGTCTTCAATCAGATGATTGGATCAGGAAGCCCCAATGGGGATCTATGAGGTAGCGAGTTCATTGCCTTATTGTGGGCTCATGCTGGGCTTATCCTGGCATAGCCCCCCCCCCCCCCGCAACGACGCCCCGCATGATTGGGCTTGTCTCTAAAGAGGGGAACAAACCCCCAAACCAGTGGTTTTACCAGTGGTTTCCCTACGAAAGCAACCCGAAAGTCTGTGTGGTGCTTGTGGCGATCTTGTTGAAGCGATAAGTCACAGCTACGAAAAAGTGATGATGACGGTGATGCTGTTGCTGAGGCTGATGACGATGATGATGATGACGATGACGATGACGATGATTATGATTATGAGGATGAGGATGATAAACATAACGATAATAAGGACTAAACATAATGATGATGGCATTTGTTTTGAGCAGATCTCACCGCCCGTGACTTTGACCAAGGCCACGGCGGTCGCGGAGTCTGGGCTTCGGGGCCCAGGTTGGACATTCCGAAGTTTTTTTTTAGGGAGCCCTTGGTTTTTGGTGTCAAACAGAAACGGAGAAAAAACATCTAGGGGGCCGTGCAAGTTTTTTCTGGGCGAGATTTTAAGATGTGCGGGTTTGGATGGTCTGCAAAACTGCCGGGGGTTGAAACCATCCATGGTAAATTCTAGCAGTAAGAAACCCGATTCGGATGACCTACTCCACTGCCTTGCCTGGAAGCACTGGGTTAAGTATTTAGAATGTGTTGGGAGTTGTTGCTTCACTGATGTTCTTGGCTATGTGTGTTGGTTGTTAGTTGTTTCTCTTCATGTTTCGGCTGCGAAAAAGACAACGTGCTGAGGTCAGGCTAAGGATCGGAATGTTAGGAGATGGTTGTCCTCTGCCCATCTCTGCCCCATTTCGAGAAATGTTTGGAGTGCCCCATAAAAAGACAAGTGCTGTTTGTTCGCAACCCACCTTTTCCCCTTGTGGTTTTCGTGTCTTTCCGCAACTGAGAAAACCATCCCTCCAACAGCAGCCCAAGTGGTGCACACTTCAGGTGCTGCTCCTTTCAGGCAACCAGCCAAAACGCCGAACTTGGATGTTCAAGTGCTCAACTTGCTGAAGTTGCCTTGAGTTTCCAACCACTTGCGAGATAGGGAAAGAAACCTACTCAGGTTCTTCTGAGAACCGCTGGTTCCTTTTCGCTGGCCAAAAAAGAAGCGTCGATGGTCGTTCTTGTTAGGCCAATCCAGGTTAAGCGGGTGAGGTTGGACCATGTAGGGCGGTTTCGGGGATGGGAAGCTTTCAACAAGCATGGCTCCTTTTGGGGTGGAAGAAAAGAGCGACCTACAAATACCCTCCAAGAAAAGAACATCGAGCCAATTGTAGCGGACACCCGTTACCCTACCCCCGGAATCTCCAAAGACCAACTCGTTTTTTTGTTTTTTTTTGTGGGCATTTTTGTCTGGGAAAACCGGTTTCTCGGTTTTGCCAGGTAAAACTACCGGTTCCTTTGTTTAGTGGGTCGACAAATCATACCCTAGAAAAAGGCCGAGTATTGGGTGTAAGGGCAGCCACACCCACATCTCCCTCTTTGAGTGATCAACACATGGCTATGAGTAGGGAACCACCTTAGTTGGCGGACATGAATCCACACCGACCTTGCCCAGAAAGCGAGGAACAGTTCACTTCTTGGTTGCGAGTCTTGATCCAGCCTCGGCAGGAGGTTCTCGCTATCTTGAGTTGACAAACCCCCCAGTTGAATGCCATGCGGGTATGTGCTTTTTGGAGGGGAACTCATGGTTTGGTGGGTTTAAAGGGAAGCCAAAAGGAAAACTCCCCAGCCATATAGGTCGCCCACCAAGAAGGAGACATTTTCATGCTGCTTGCCTGGCCGGTCACGGAGTTAGGCGCAGCCCGGTCCCTCGAGGGCTTCGGTTGGACCGAGGTCCATGGTCATCGACATCGGGCCGGCGTTGCTGAAAGCCAAAGAGACCGTCCACGAAGGCCGGGCCGTTCCCCGCAGCGGGAGTCTCTCGCGTAAAAGCGGCCGTTTTTGTTGTGGGGGGAGGGAGGGGAGGGAGGGGAGGGAGGGGAGGGAGGGGAGGGAGGGGAGGGAGGGAGGGAGGGAGGGGAGGGAGGGGAGGGAGGGAGGGAGGGGAGGGGAGGGAGGGGAGGAGGGAGGGGAGGGAGGGAGGGAGGGAGGGGGAGGGAGGGGAGGGAGGGGAGGGAGGGGAGGGAGGGGAGGGAGGGGAGGGAGGGGAGGGAGGGGAGGGAGGGGAGGGAGGGGAGGGAGGGGAGGGAGGGGCCCAAAGAAGCCCTAAATAAGGCCTCAATAAGGGCTTCATAAGGGTTTTTTGGGGCTCCCTTCCCCTCCCCTCCCTCCCCCGCAGCCCTGAGTTTGAGGCCTTGGCAAATGGAAGTCTGCTGTCGGCTCACTTAAGTGGTTCGCCGCTTGGGTTACAACCCAGTGACAATTGATTCAGTCCACTGAACCGGGGGGGGGGAGCCTCGGAGGGGGGGCCTACAAGTGGGTAGCCCAGGTAACAGCTTACTAAGTCAGCCGAACACAGGGAACCTCGGACAATCCAAGGGTCGGAAATATAGACTCAGTGCTTCTTTTTTCACCTGTTGGTTTTCAGTTTTCAGTTTGGCCCACTTTTGGAAGGTGATCTCGGCCTGGCCCAGTCCCCTATGTGAGTACATTGTCTTTCCATGTTCAACCCACAAGCTATTTTCACTTTTGGATCGGGAAAACAGATGGCCCAATTGTCAGGTGCCGCTTTCTTCCCAAGAATCGGTTTTCTCCCTTTGAGCATTACAGGGCCCTTACCGTGGAAAAGAACATCATGGTTGCGCCGGTCAGTCGGGGGTTTAGGTTACGTACCACTTTCTGTAGCAAGGGGAATCCTTTTCAAGTGACAAAAAGAAGGGATTGATCCTACCCCGCTTGATACCCCTGCCATTGAAAAAGATGTTTAAGGCTAAAAGTCTTCGTGCCGTGCCAATTTCACGTATGAACTTGCCTTTTGATGGCTGGGCCACAAGCGGGTAAGAGGTTCTAACCATTTCCCTCCTTGAACATCTCCCCAAAAGGAGACTCACTTTAAATTGGCAAAAATCGTAGTGTTTCAAATCACCAAAAGGGGAAACTAGCGAGGCCTTGGGCCTTCGGTGTGATCTGCCGTGTTTTGCAGGGCCAACTGCTGGAACAACGCATCAATCACGTAGGCCATCCTTGAGGACAGCCAGGTCCCAGACACGTGGGATGATCAGTTGCCCGTTTTGGCAACTCAGGATCCCCCAGCTAGGTGCCCTTTCTCACCCCTTTTTTGGTTGGGAGGGTTCCCCTACTAAAATAGACTACAGAAAAAAGCCGCCTATGAAGGCTTTCTGTTCGAGACCTGCGCTGGGAGGCACCTCTACACTTTTTTACTAGATAGCTCGGAACTAGATAGCTCAGAGGGGCCCCAAGGCCTGCATACAAAGGCCTGATAGGTCAGGTGCTGCAGGTTCCCGCACATCCGGCGTGTTACCTCTTGTTTTCCCTTTTTCTTGACTTGTTGGCGGATTGCAGGTTACAACGACCCAAAAAAGGGCACCGATTCTTTTCCAATAAAGAATTGTGTGGGGGGGGGGGGGGGGGGGCGTCCGGAATGTTGCGTTCCGTTTTCAGCAGCACGATTCATTCCTCTGGAAAGCACATCGAGCATTTTGCGTCGTCGTTTCAGCGCAAGTCACTTTGCACAAGTTTCTCTGACCTTAGACCAATGTTTACACCAACAACCACTTCACTGTTCTTGGCAAGCTGTTTCTTGTTTGTTTCTTTCTTGTTCTGTTCGTTTTTACTTGGGGGGGGCTGCAATAAACAGTCAGTGAGTTGCAAGCCCATACCACGAGTTGTAGAGACTGTCGATCGCCAGGCGCAGAGGTGAGCAACTTGCGAGCCAAGGCCAGGCCAGCTCGGACATGTCGCTGTAGCGAAGGCTTCACGGGGAAAAAGTTTTTTGGGTAGTCACGAGCTTTTCAGGTACCCAGGCACATGACATAAACCGGGAGGAACCAAATTTGGCTTAGGTACCCTTGAGTCGGCCTTGGGGATTTGAAGCGAAAGGCTCCAGCAATTGGTGAGCTTTGGCTTTTTCCCCAAATCAAGCTGCAAGGCTTGGGGGTGGTTGCTCCGGGATTCCCTCACCCCTCGGATCACAAAATTAGCTCTCCGGAAAAGAAGGCTAAAGGGGAGCTGGGGAGTATCCCTCTTCCTCTTGAAGCTCAAATGGGAAAGGTACACCCTCAACAAACCAAACCACCAATTGGTGTTCTTCCTGTTGGATTTCTATTTTGTGGTTGTTGTTTTTGGGAGGAATTCCCCCAAAACGGAGGACTCCAACATGGGACAATCTACGGATCACAATCTCGTTGCGTTAGATTTCAGTCCAATGCTGGTGCCATAGGGAATGGTGGTGGTGGTGGTGGTTGAATGAAGCAAGAAGCTGCTGCAAATTGCTATATGCGAACTGCTCTGTGCAGTTGCTCCGTGCAACTTCTCTGTGCAGGTGGCTCTTTTCGAGCCAGTTTTGGGGATTCCCGAATAAAGGAAACTGGTGGATGGTTTTTGTGTGGGGTCATTCCATTTCTCATTCCCTGCAGAGAAATAGCAGATCTCAAATTGGCATTTCCAGGCAGAGGGGTTATTTGTCGATAAAATATTGAAAACAAACCGAAGAAAAACGTATTTGGCCGTATGACCATTTTTGGGGGCAAAGCCTTTTGACCAAAAAAATAGGCTTTTAGGGTCTCCAGGAAAACCCTTGCGGAATGTCCGTCGAAGCAACAGTCGTTTGCGTTACGACACAACAACCATCGTTTGCGGTCGACTCGATGACTTGAATTCGGAGCCTAAGGAGCTCACTTGGGGACCTTGGAATCTCACTCCCGATTGAGGTCAGGGACTTGGGCTTTGGTCTTTGGGGTTGGATAATTATTTAGTGGTAAACAGTTTCGGTATTTTCTGGGCCAGTCTACTCAGAAAGTGAGGATTTCGGGGGGGGCAAACGCGAGCCTTATAGATTTCCAGGTTCCCTACTCCAAATACCAAACCATTTTGCAGTTGGTATCATGTCAACTCTCTACTGAAAAAGGATGTTTTTACCATTGTCTAAAGAGATGCTTACAAGTATTTGGAGTAGGAGGTCCATTTGTGGTATCCCATTTCCCCTTTGTAGAGACGAGATAAATGGAGTTACGTCCCGGACCCCGCCCCCACATTCTTCCTTTGGGGCAGCTGAGTCAAGCTTTCATGGAATTGCCAGAGGCTTCTCGGTCTCAGGGAGCTCCATGTTGTTGCTTGAAATCGAAAGTCAACCAAGAAATAAACAAATTCAACTCAAAAAAAATCAAACAAATTAAAGCATTCGAAAACCATGTTGAAGAAATACCACCAATTCAAGCAACAACCCTTCCTGCTGATTAATTTGTCCAGATCACAACTCGACGCATCAACCGACGATCCGCGAAGGTGTCCATGGACTACCTGGGACCGATTCCATATGGCCGTTGTTTTTTTAGGTCATACACTATTGACCGAGAAAAACAATGGCCATACGTTTAAAAAAAAAAAAAAAAAAAAAAAAAAAATGTTTTATTTTTCTTTTTGAACAACATGTCGACAGAATGTGTAGATACGGGTGTGCTTCGTTTGAGGCTACCCTGTTGTGGGTTTCAACAAAAAAACAATGTTGGCGTCCACGGAAAGCAAAAGGAAAGCCACCATTTTGGGTTCCCCCAAGACGACCCGCAAAAAATTGTTGGATCGATTTGCCTAGGTGACCAGGGGCTTGCCTAACGAAAAGGAACCTAGATCGGAGGGTGGTCTACGATCTAAGCTTCATATTTTGTTGATCTCCAGCCATTTCTACTACTTAACTTTGATGACTAAGCCATATGTCTTAGATGTTTGTTGAATTGCTGACTTAGTATTTGTACTGCTATTGGGTTGGATCTTTGGACGTCAACTGTTTGGGTTCCTGTCATGATTCCTTTGAACCAGCAAAAAGTTAAGCTTCTTGATGAGGGATCTACAGCACCCAAGCTATGGCCATGGGTCAAAGCCCGTACCCCCAGTGAACATCACAATCCCCACTAAAATAAATACTACAATGGGTGGTGAATTCACCTACCCCAACATGGGATTCCATTGGTTTTGACCACCACAGCTATTTATTGAAATTATGCCCAGTGGATCCCAGTTCCCCATAAAGGCCAGCAATTTTCCGGTTGGTAGGGTCCACTGGGTTCAGGCTGAGCAGCGGGGTCCGCTCACCACCAGCCACCTGTGCGTGCGCGGGGCCTGGAAAAGCGCGAACTGATTCAAGCGGACCGAGAGACGAAACCACAAAGGGGCTCCCAAATTCTTGGTGGCTCCCAGCCATCCGGTTCAACTTAGCTTTTTAGGTCCTTTTAGTGTTGAGTGGTAGTTTCCGAATTTAACCCACTAAAAGTTAGATACTTTCAGACTGGTGCCAAAATGGATTTGGTCAATCCGCAGTATAGGGGTCGTGGCCGTGGTGGGAAAGAACATGGCTTCACAGCAGCTGACAAAAACCCCGCTTCACCGGCTTGCGGCTTTGAAGGGACAAGGGAGCCAATGTTGACCCCGGAGTACCCAAGCCCAGTTTATTGCTAGGGTGTTTAATTGGGTGCAGTGGGGTCTCAGACCGCTTTTGGATGGGCCCCAAAACCAACCCAATATATCAAAAAACTGGCATTGATTCATATGGGGTCAACATTGAGTCGTTGGTGGCTTGGGATGGTCGATCTGCCAAGTGAATAAGTGGTACCCGGGTCAGAACCTAGTTATAGGTTCCCCGTTCAGTGGACTCAACCCTGCGTGATTCATGTGGCCGGAATTACCCTTTTTTGGGCTGCCCGTTTTCTGATCCCCCCTTAACCCCAAAACTGGGACAAAACAACTACCAACTGGTGCGAATCAGTCCACAGTAGTACATTCAGAGTGGTTACTCCATTGCGTTGAGGCCTGGTGTTTCTTCTTGCTGTTTTGTGTTGTTCTCTTCTTTCGTGTTTGTTTCATATTGTTTCCTTTTTTGTTTGGGCGGGGGGGGGTCCCATGAAAAGCCTGGTAGCAAACGGGAAAAGGAGTGGTCCTTGTAGTTATAGGGCGGCCCCCCTTCTGGTTTGCCCCACACTGGCGATAGAAAAACAATGTCACAGGAAGTTCACCTTTTTCACTTTACAGTTGCCCAAGGACATGTTCAACCCCTCCTCCAAAAGGTGAACAAACATGTGCGGAGGGGCTTGCTTTGGACTGACCTTCATAGGATTCCCTCAGCCGATGGAACACATCTTGGCTTCCCAGCATCTCCAAAAGGCATCTTTTCTGATTCTGTTCCACATACTCACTTGCGCCAAGCAAATCGACCTTTTGACCTTCTAGTTTCCATGTTTGGTCATGGGCCCAAAAGATGATAACTGATAACCTAGATTTCTGGGCCCCTGTCGGGGCAACGGAGCATACAGTCTACCCTTTCTGATGTTTTTGGGAGGCAACAGAAATGCTCAGTTCAAGACCGGCCTCGCCTTTTGGTTTTCGCTTCACTTTTAGTGGTCCCAAAAGTTTGACTCCTTAGTTCTAGGTCTGTCTGCGCTATCCCGCTTCACGTAAATTACGTCGACTCGCGTTGACCCCTCCGCCCCAAAAAAAACCCTAAGAAACCTCAGAGGATTCAGAACCGCCGTCCCTGTCTTGGACTTCGTGCCACTGCGCGTTCTCGAATCGGCACTCAGGCGCCACCTCGACGTGTGCGAGCACAAGCATGTCTGGAGATGGGCGCACAGCCTCGGGGGCAAAACCGGCTTGGAGTGGCGGTTCAGATGTGTTTCGTCTTTTTCATATTTCGTGTTGGCCAAGGGAATGAATCCATTCCACTGCTTTTCATTAGTTCCGTGTTGGCAAAGGGAATGAATAGACGTGTTGTCATGTTTCCGTGTTGGCAAAGGAAATGAATCCATTGCACTGCTGGCAAGAAGATGTTCTCATGCTTGATCAGAGGAAAAACTTGGATCTTTAGACTTTAGCCTTTTGGCCAATAATTTTGTTTCCACTAAACCCCAAAAAGTGAAGCTCACTTTTTGCAGGGGGGTCGTTCCAGCAACTAAGGCAACACAAATGATGGCTCATGTGCCCCCCCGGCGTTCGAGGGTGCAATGTGTTTGCTTCTCCCCACAGGCAACGATCGCTGTCCCTGCAGGATTTGTTGGGATTCGTGGCCCTATTGCTTTGGTGGTCCTTCTGACTTCCGAAAGAAAGAGCGCATCCTTGAAAAGGCGAGCCTCAAATTTTGTTTGGGTTCTGTTCATGTTTAGTACCTGTTTGCTCATGTCCTTCTGTTTGTTTCTTGTCTAGGTCCCCCAGTGCCCTTTCACCCTATAGACTACCAGAAGAAGAAAAAAAAAAAGAATAAAAGCGAAAGTGTTTAAAACAAAAAAAGAAGAACAAGTTGGTACCAACTGATTCTAAGCTCCAAAATTGGAGGACACCTCGTTTCCTTTTTTCGTTCACGTTCGGCAACCCCCCAGACCCCCCGCGTCCGAGCCCGATGCCCGGGAAGCTCAGCGGCAATCGCCTAGTTAGAACCCAGCCCCGTAACCTCCAACTGCCCGAGGCCTTTTTTTCGGTAAGTGGCGAATTATAACCTACCCCCGTAACCTCCAAAGACCCACGTGTTCTTTCTTGTATTTTCGGAGAAACCGATCGGGTTTCCAGGGTAAATACATCTTTCCCATTTTTGGTAGAGGGTCGACAAATCATGTTTTCTTTTCCGGGGATCTTGTCGACCCTCTACTAAAAACGGGCAAGAGGTATTTACCTTTAAAAAGGGAAAGAGGTATTTACCTTGAAAAACCAGGTTCAAGACCATGTTTCCTAGGGTATTGTTTGGAAAGGCGATCGGTTCTCAAGGCAAATACCGATCCCTTTTTTAGTAGAGGGTCGACAAATCATACCCAAACAAAAGGCCTTTGGTATTTGGAGGTTACGGGGGCAGGGTGAACTCCACACGGGGGATCTGTAAGCTTTCATTTGCTGAAGAATATGTTATTTCCCCCTCTTGGTTTTAAAGGGAATCGATTTGACTACTGAAAATATGTATGTTTGCAGGGGGCATAAGCAAAAGAAATTATGTTGGTTATAACCCAGGTTACCATGAGCTTACTAAGTCATCCGAACACACAAGTAGGGGACTGCAGAAACGCAGTTGTCTCTTGCCATAGTTCTTCAGTCGTGCCTCTCGAGGCAGGATCCTTATGGGCCAACGCCGGTTCAAGCCCCATGACGTGGGGCTGTCGTCTTTTTTGAGGGTACTCCCCTTTTGGTTGGACCAAAAGGAAAACCGCCATTCTAAGGGTCAAGAAAAGACAAGCGCGTGTGTCCAAGGATTGGAAGCCTTGCAACATGTTGAGATGCCTGGGCAAACAATTCAAAAGGGGCCCCCCAGTTTACATTTGGTTCTGAGTCCGTTTCGCTGGAATGCATCCAGAGAAGCTTACCGCCATGATGCATGTTCACTTGCTCAGTGGAGATTGTTACTCCGTTGAAGTCTCACCGGAGACGCCCCTCAGCGAGCTGAAGGCTGCTGCGCAGCAGCATTTCCAGCGCCGCTTGAAGCTCACGGCAAAAGGCCAGCACCTTGATTTGACGGCCACAGTGAGCGAGTCAGGGTTGAGAGATGGTGACATGGTGACTGCGGTTGTGCAGCTTGCCACACTGGCTGCCGCTAAAAAGGCGTTCGCTTTTTATGGCCACCAGGGCGAGCTTGTGACCTGGGGTGATCCACGCCTCGGCGGAGACAGCAGCCAGGTGCAGAAGCAGCTGAGGAACGTCCAGCAAATCCAAGCAACTTGCTGTGCTTTTGCTGCCATTCTTGAATCTGGGGCTGTTGTGACTTGGGGTCGTCCAGGAGACGGTGGAAACAGCAGCCAGGTACAAGAGCGGCTGACAAATGTCAAGCACATTCAAGCAACTGGGAATGCTTTTGCTGCCATACTTGAATCTGGAGCTGTTGTCACCTGGAGTAGTTTATATTCTGGCGGAGACAGCAGCCAGGTGCAAGAGCAGCTCAGGAACGTCCAGCACGTCCAAGCCACTCGCGCGGCTTTTGCTGCCATTCTTGAATCCGGGACTGTTGTGGCGTGGGGTCATCCGCAACGTGGCGGAGACAGCAGCCAGGTGCAAGAGCAGCTGAAGACCGTCCAGCAAATCCAAGCAACTCGCGAGGGTGCTTTTGCTGCCATTCTTGAATCTGGGGCTGTTGTGAGCTGGGGTCACGCAGAATACGGCGGAGACAGCAGCCAGGTGCAAGAGCAGCTGAGGAACGTCCAGCACATCCAAGCAACTTGCGCTGCCTTTGCTGCCATTCTCGAATCTGGGGCTGTTGTGACCTGGGGTGATCCGCAACGTGGCGGAGACAGCAGCCAGGTGCAAGAGCAGCTGAGGAACGTCCAGCAAATCCAAGCAACTCGCGAGGGTGCTTTTGCTGCCATTCTTGAATCTGGGGCTGTTGTGACCTGGGGTCACGCAGAATGCGGCGGAGACAGCAGCCAGGTGCAAGAGCAGCTGAGGAACGTCCAGCACATCCAAGCAGCTGGTGACGCTTTTGCTGCCATTCTCGAATCTGGGGCTGTTGTGACCTGGGGTGATCCGCAACGTGGCGGAGACAGCAGCCAGGTGCAAGAGCAGCTGAGGAACGTCCAGCAAATCCAAGCAACTCGCGAGGGTGCTTTTGCTGCCATTCTTGAATCTGGGGCTGTTGTGACCTGGGGTCACGCAGAATACGGCGGAGACAGCAGCCATGTGCAAGAGCAGCTGAGAAACGTCAAGAACATTCAAGCATCTCAGGGCGCTTTTGCTGCCATTCTTGAATCCGGGACTGTTGTGGCGTGGGGTCATGTAGATTACGGAGGAGACAGCAACCAGAGCAGCTGAAGAACGTCCAGCACATCCAAGGAACTGAGAGTGCGTTTGCTGGCATTCTTGAATCTGGGGCTGTTGTGACCTGGGTTTATCCAGGATGCGGCGGAGGCAGCAGCCAGGCGCAAGAGCAGCTGAGCTTGCAATCTGTTGCGTTTGTGCTTGGACAGCACGTTGAAAGAAGAGAGCAACAGGTGACCTGCGTCTAAAGTGGGTATGTCTTTTTTGACGGTACCGTGTTTTGCTTTTGTTTCTAGGGGAGATCAAAGGGATATGGGGCGAAACCATCGCGACGCAACGACGCAAAGGAGGAGCGAGGTGAGCAGCAGTTTACCGTATCATGAGAGGATGGCATGCCATTTAAAACTCTTCTAAAGCTCTTATTTACCATGACATGCCAGTTTACGGTATCATGGCCAGTCTTATTTCTTTGCCCTTTGAAACTCTTCTAAAAAAAGCCAAAGAAGACTTTCTCCCAATTTCGCAGGTTCGCGAGAACTCCATGGGACTGTTCCATTCCTATCGCACTTCGCCGGCTCGCGCTACTTTTGCGCGGCACCTCGTTTTGCTGCGCAGGTCGTTTGGTGCTTTGGAAGGTTGCGCCTTTGCGTCGCCGCGCCATTGTGCGGCTCGTTTTGAGGCGGTTTGCTGAGCAGGCGCGTGCAGACCACCGTCTCGAGTTGAAAGTTGTTCGAAATCGGTCCAAATCATTCTGGCGCCGCTGTCCCGCGCAAATGCTTGACGCGTCGTAAAATTGTCAAAACTGGATTTCGCGACAGGCGCAGTACTTTGAGTGCTGTTTGCTTCGTTTGAAGGCGCAGCACTTTGAACCACGTGCTGATGTAGTGGCAGGGGCAGTACTCTGGAGCACAGAGTCCTGAGTTTATGTCCGGCGCAATACTTCGTAGGGTCACACAAATGCAATTCGCAGACGAAAGAAAGAAAGGAAGTTGGTAGATGTACATTCGAACGGATGGATAGATTAGATTAGATTCGATTAAAGTAGATGAGGATAGGTTATGTCGATAGTCAGGTGGCAGGAAGATAATTAGATAGGTATATATGTGGATAGATGGACAGATGCGTATAGACAGACGGACAGATAGGCAAAAACCTTGATGCACAAACGGATGCATGGATGAAAAAGCAGGCGGATGAATAGATACACACACAACGGCAGCTCTGGGTAGCTAATCTGCATTCGCATTCGTGGCTATCAGGTTTTTGCTGGGGAGACCGGGGAGCAAGCTCTTCATCCCAAAAAAAAACCATGCGATCCAACCATCCAACGGAGCCAGAACTCGATTTCAGGTGCCAGACCAGAGACTCTCGAACCTTTGGCACGAGCTCAGCCCAGAGGCGCAACCGAAAACTCGCCTTGCGCCATTGGAACCAGACAGGTCCCTTTCAGGGTTGTGGTTGATCCAAAAGGGGTTTCTCCAACCACTTCTGTGATACAAGTTCGGAATCTCCCCCTTTATATGGGGGGTTAGTCTTTGGGAAGCCTTTTTTGTTGTATCACAGAAGTGGATTCCATTCCCCACAGCCCTGGTCCCTTGTCATTGGGAGAATCGTCTTCCAGGACCTTTTAGTCAGGTGTCACGTGAGATCACTAAAAGTCAACTTTTCGCAGATCTGAGGACAGCCCAGACATGCTTATATCGTTTGAAGCTTGAAATGGTCCGCATGGGAAGTATCCATGACCCCTACAAGTATCTCCCATCTAGAGTATCTAAACCATCGAGCCATGGGGTTTTGATGCGGTGTCCCTTTTTCAGTTTAACAGAATCAACCGAGTGGTTTCTTCGCTTGCAAGCTCCCAAGCATCCCCAAAATTTTCCTGCGTGGCTCTTCCGCCACTTGTCTCTCAGTTAGTCCAACGCCGAGCCTTCGACCTGTTGGTTTTCCCATCCAACTTTCGTCACGGCCCCATTTGGGTATGGCTCAAAATTAAACAGCGGTTACGCGGGTTGTAGTCGTTGGTTCCATTTACAAAGGTGTCATTTTGGTCCACTTTTTTGAGCCAGAGCCATTTCGGTCAACCCTTCCATTTCGGTCAACCCGCAGCAAAGAAAATCGCGTAAGGAGGCCTAAGGCTCATCGCAGCTCCCGCTCATCGCTCCGAACAGTTCGGCAACCAGTGCAAGAACCACATCGCGGTTCTTGGTGCGGAAATCGGTCTGATTCATCTATGCGCAACCTAGGAGGAAGAAAACCCAACTAGATTTCAGTGGGGAAAACCAAAACCTCTCATATCGGCTAGGGGCGACTGCATATTTCAACGGTGCTCATATCATTGCACTCAAGTCGCCGCTTGGGATTTTTCATGACCTGGCCCCTTCATGAGGATGTGTTTCCAAGGCTACGCGCTGTGCCGTGGGAATCCCCTTTCTGAGGTGACAAAGTAAACCACTGAAGCGCTTCGAGGGGGGACAGAAGCTTTAAATAGATTGCAGCCATCTCCCCCAGCCGTTTTGGCCCTTGGATGGGGATTTCGCCCATTTTGGGATCACGAAAAATCATGTTCGCCGCGAGAGTCGAAACCGCCGCTTGGCGCAGGAGCGGGCCAGAGTAGCAGTTGCCCCAGCCGATGCTCGGTTGTGCTTACAGCCCAGTTGATCCCGGGATCCCTTTCATGGTTGTTGGGAAACATGTCTTCCATGTTTGCAAATGGTGGTTTAGTTGAGTGGAAATCCAACCACTTAACTTCTAAAATTAAAAATTGCTGCTCCCCTTCCAACGTCGACCAAGAGCCTCGAACCTGAGATTCCCTCCGCTTCCAAGGCCTTTCAGTCGAAAAAATATTCAGGGTGACACATCCCGATTCCCACAAAAAAAACATGTGTATATATATATATATATACCTGGAGTCTCCATGACTCTTTAAAAATGGGTCCATGACCTCTTTATTTTGGGTAATGACCCCATTTTTTCAGGGTCATGTACACCCTACTCCAAATACCCACGTGTTCAATGGTATTGTTTGGACCACCGGTCTCGGTTTTTCAAGGTACATACCAATCCCCTTTTTTTCGGTAGGGGGTCGACATGATACCAACTGAAAAAACGGGTATTTGGAGTCGGGGGTTCTAGCAGGGAACCCACACTTCGCCTGGTGTTTTTGAATGGCAAGCCCGAGGCTACCTGCTACACAGGTAACTGGATGCACCAGGCTAGGATTGCTGCAACTTTTAGTTCGAAAGGATTAAAACTTGTTCAACCTTTCAAAAGGGCAAAGATATCTCAGACCAAACAGTAATCCAGGGGCTCGTTTGCCCTTTCGCGCCCGAATTGGATTTCGGTTTTGGCCTCGTGCGCTCGTGTTTACTACGAAGCTTGGTTTGGAGGCTTCGGATTCCGAAAGAGTTTTGTTGGGGGACTCGCATGCGAAGCTCCAAAGCCCAACTTGACATCCCTTACCGATAAGGGATGGGAATGCATTCAAGGTCCAGGAGCCAATTCTATTTGTCTAGTCCCGGGAAAATGGATTACAATTAACCAGCTAGGTCCTCAGAATAAAGGGTACCCTTTTTTCTGTAGTCAAGAGACCCCTCCCCCAATCCACCATTTAGGCGGTGGGGATTTCTTGATCCACACTTTTGACAAACAAATCCGCCGGCCAGCGCCGGGAAGCGTGGCTCATCTAAGTCTTGCAAGCGTAAAACACGTTGGGGCGCCTCTCCTCTGATTTTGGAACATTTCTCCGACCGGCCTCACCTGGCCTTGTTTGGCCTTTCCTCCAAATAAGACTTATCAATTCAGCCTGAAATTTTTTGGTGGGTCTCTGCAGTCCAAAGTGTCACATATTTGGGTATGTCTCAAATTCGAGGCACCTCGAAAATGGCTGGGTGTTCCTTCTGGTTTCCCTTTAAACCAAGGTGCACCGAGCCTCAACATGTTGTTGAGGGTACTCCCTTTTTGGCTGCTGAAAGCGAATATCCGCCGGGAAACACAAACCAAACACTTGCGGTCACCCCAAGTCCCCCCTCTCCCCCCTGGACGAGCTTCGGGAAAACTGCCGGGAAACCCCACCATTCAATCACCCCACTGGGGTGGTTTCCCGTTTACCCTCCACAAAAAACAGGGGTTCAAATCCCCAAACCACCAATCCAAACCACAAATTCAGGGTACCCATTACACCCAATACCCACTTTTTTTTAGGGTATGATGTCGACCCTCTAAAAATGCCAACTAGAAAAAGGCCGGGTATTTGGAGGCTATGCGGGTAATCTGGTCGTGTCTCCCGCCTTCTGGACTTAGGTCGAGACTCACGCGGGCGGTCAGGCAGTGAGGCGGTTCTGCAAGGCCGGAGAGTCTGAAGTGGATTGGAAATTGGTCGAATCGTTGGTGTTTTTTTCGTTGGTTGGTTGGTTGTTTGGTTGTTTGGTTGGTCGGTCCGTCGGTTGGTTGGTTGGTCGGTCCGTCGGTTGGTTGGTTGGTTGGTCGGTCGGTCGGTTGGTTGGTTGGTTGGTTGTTTGGTTGTTTCCTTGCTCGGTCGGTTGGTTGTTTGGTTGGTCGGTCGGTCGGTTGGTTGGTTGGTTGGATGTTTGGTTGGTCGGTCGGTTGGTTGGTTGGATGGTTGGATGGTTGGTTGTTTGGTTGGTTGGTTGGTTGGTTGTTTGGTTGGTCGGTCCGTCGGTTGGTTGGTTGGTTGGTCGGTCGGTCGGTTGGTTGTTTCGTTGGTTGTTTGGTTGTTTCCTTACTCGGTCGGTTGGTTGTTTGGTTGGTCGGTCGGTCGGTTGGTTGGTTGGTTGGATGTTTGGTTGGTCGGTCGGTTGGTTGGTTGGATGGTTGGATGGTTGGTTGTTTGGTTGGTTGGTTGGTTGGTTGTTTGGTTGGTCGGTCCGTCGGTTGGTTGGTTGGTTGGTCGGTCGGTCGGTTGGTTGTTTCGTTGGTTGTTTGGTTGTTTCCTTGCTCGGTCGGTTGGTTGTTTGGTTGGTCGGTC